CATTGGAAAGGAAGGCAGTGATTTAACGAAGAAAGAGTCTCCAGTAAACGAATGCGGTGGATTCAATTCTACTGCGTTGGCCTTTGAGGACAACATAAACTTATCCTATCCCGCTTCTTCCGAGTTTGGATGCACACTTAACAGTACTGTTACTCACCTGAAAGAAGAAGATGAAGAGATTAGCTTTTGGGTAGATAAAAAGAGAAACGTGCAGTCTTGAGTGAAGCATTGGCACATATATCAGATGGAAGAGTTAGTCCAATAGCTTCGACTTTAAATTCGAATCGGGAAAGTATATCAAGCACACAAAAGGTCTACTACTTGCGGAAAGTGGGTCAAGTTCTCAAAGAGCTGTAAACAACCATTGCACCAGATCAAGAAGAGAAAGTGCTGGAAGCAATGAAGCGTTCTTTAGATACAACTCTTGCCAAGAAAGGAAACGAAAGCAGAGCATGTGCTGTCAAAGAAGAAGTGACTACAAACCAATCGCCGATTTTGCTGAGGGTGTATCACGAAGCGGAAAATCGACAAACCCGATTGCAAATTCTTTCAATGTTTGCAAAACGTTTTTCAAAGAAGGAGCTAAGAGAGATGATTCCAGGTCTTAGTAAATGGCAGATCGATCAAGCCCGTCGCCATGCTGCAGAAGAGGGGCCAGGACAACCAGTGGTGTCCCAGCCAATTAAACGAACACGCCTTGATCCGGTGAAAACAAATCACTTCGTCAACTTTATTGCTAGTGCAAATTTTTTACAGGACGTTGCCTATGGAACTAAAGAATTAAAGCTAGCTTCTGGAGAGAAAATTCCCATTCCGAATGTGATTAGAACGATGGTGCCTTCACGAATAATCAAGCAATACATTTCTTATTGCCAAGAAACAGAGTTTAATCCAGCTAGTGAAAGAACATTATATAGAATTATCGATGTGTGCGCCGCATCCAGGCAGAAATCGCTTCAAGGTTTAGATTATTTCTTAACGGAAGGGGCATAGGCGTTCGAGTCCGTCGAACGTGTGATTGTGGTGCTTGAGGAAGGGGGTGCCATTTCGATTTGGGGAAAAGAAGCCAAGGCCATCATAAAAGAAGCCAAGCGTTATCTCAGAACCGACTTCAAGAGCCATGTCGGACCCGAGGAAAGATGTGTTGACCACTGCACTGGTTTCAGTCTCAGCGACCCTCACAACGACGCCTTCGCTCAACGTTGTAATCACATTCATGATATGTCTTTCCCCTCATGCAGCCAGCTAGATGAGGCTTTATCCAATGTTATGAGCATGATCAACTCCCCGAAGCTGACTCTAACAGATGAAGAGCAAAGTCAGGTTACATTTGACGTGGCCCACGCAGTGGAGGCAATCGCGAGTTGGAAAGCGCATATGCTTCGAACTGTCAATCAAGAGCAAGCCAAGGAAGAAACTCTCGGTGCACTCAACGATCAAAGCGTTCTCGTAATTATGGACTGGGCAATGAAATATCTGCCCCAGCGGTACCGAGAGCAAATGAGCGATTTTTACGCAAAGCGAGGAAAAAGTTAGCATGTTGCTTGCGTTGTTTTCAAAATTGGGGAGAACGAATTCAATGTTGAAACCATAGTGCACATATTTGATAGCTGTATACAGGATTGGTTTTCCGTTGCATCCATAGTAGAGCTCATTCTTGTTACCATCAAGCAAGAGCACCCCAATGTGGAGATGGCCTATCTGAAATCTGATAATGCGGGATGCTACCATAATGCCTCACTGATTCTGTCCCTGAAATCCATTGGAGAGAGGGCAGGCATAACTGTCCAAAGGTATGACTTTTCAGATCCACAATCTGGAAAGGATGTGTGTGATAGGAAGATCGCCCCAATGAAAGGTCACATACAGAGATGGGTAAACGAAAAGCACGATCTAGTCACAGCCGTTGACATGAAGGAGGCATTGGAATCTTATGGTGGTGTCCGTGGATGCAGAATAACAGTTGCAGAAGTAGATGTAGCAAAGGCAGCGAAGCCGGAAGAATGGAAAGGGATTAGCGCTCTGTTCAACTTTGAGTTTCTTTCCTCCGGAATTAGGGCTTGGAAAGCTTACGGTATTGGTGAAGGTCAGATGTTTCCATACGATGAAGTAGGTCGACCGCTGCAGGGTACAACAGGTCTTCATATCATCATGCCTCTTACGTTTCGCCTCTCACTGTCAAAGCCAGGGCTGCTAAAGGTAAAGGCAAAACATACTAATTTGCAAGACCTTTTTATGTATCAAGAAGAAGGTTGTGTGGCCAGCTTTCGAACCCAGAAGGATCTTGAAGGTCACATGGATACTAGGCGACATGTGAGGGTCACGGAGCATGAGACTGGTTACGATTTAGCGCGAAAAGAATGGGCAAAAAAGATCACGGGAATACAGTCAACGCACGTTGGACAAACGGGGCACGTACGAGCAGGTAGCCATTGGATGTCAACACGAGAAGCATCGCAACAGGGTTGGGCTCTAAAACGGCAACGAAAGGGCCAGAGAGCAACCGAAAACGTGAAGAAGTTTCTGGTGGAAAAGTTTAATAGAGGGGTGACAACAGGTAAGATATACTTCAAAGATCAAGTAGTGATCTTAACCGTTGATAAAAAGATTCGTCCTACTTCCTGAATTTAGCATGACGAACACTAACCTTTGCTATACCTATCAGAGTGGTGGCTATAGGTGGTTTCCAGGCAATCACCAGACAGAGATAACAATGATGAAACGAGCAAATGCTGGTGGGCAAACAAAACGAGTTTATGATTTGTTTTCCGCCCACCAGCATGGCGGCGATGACGTAAGGTAAAATCCACCTATCGATTGAAACCTCTCTGAATTTAGATCTTGTAAACGCGTAGACGTCAAGAATTCCATCTCTTGACCTCTTTTCACAAGTATATTCCTAAGTCCATGTAGAGGTCAGTTTCTCCTTTTTTTTCCACCTGCAGTGGACGTGAGTTTGTAATTCATGTCATCTAATGTTTCACTGGATTGTTTGTTTGATGTTCATGTCAGAAAATCAGTACAATAGCCCAATTTTGACATTTTAAAATTAAGCCGAAAAAAACTGACTTTAGCACGAGGCTCCGGGGGATAATAATAATAATAATCAACTTTATTTAAAGAGGGTAAAACACATAATAGTATAAAACTGACAAACCAGTGGCCCTCTTAAAATATATTACAAATAATTATTGAAAAAGATTAAAAACAAACTAATTATGGAAAAAGATCAGGAGCTAAAAATCTAAAATTACAAAGTTTATAAAAACTATAAGATAAAATGTTCTAATCGTTTATAACTATTCTTAAAAAAATCTAACATGGCCTTCTTAAAACATTTAATAGTAGGTTTCATTCTTATGTCCAGTGGTAAGGTATTCCAGAGGCGTGAGGTCGATACTGTGAAAGACCTACCTCCCTCTGACTCCAGTTTGAATCGGGGACAGACGAGGTTTAGTTGTCCATGTCTGCTTGATCTTTCATTTCTGTCTGCATTTCTTAAGAGCATTTGGGACATATAAGGTGGACAGTCCCCAGACAATCGTTTGTACACCATTAGTGACCTATTTACTTTTGCCTCATGAAAGAATGGAACCCAATTCAATTTCCTAATCAGTTGTACGCTATTCGCTTTAGTGTCAGCTCCGAAAATTACATGTGCCGCGCGTTTCTGAAGTTTAAAGACTTTCAGCGTTTCTGGATAAACTCCACAAACGCTGCTGTTATTCCCCAGAGCCTCGAGCTGATGTCTACTGTCTAAGGCTGAATTTTAATATATCGAAATTTGTCTATTGATCTCAATTGTTCAGAANGCATCGACTTATGAAGAATGCGGGAGTTGGATAGCTCAGTTGAAAGAAGTGTAAAAGTTATCGAGGGGAGACCTCGGACTTCTTGACGGTGGAAATGTGCATCAGAAGCCGCGCGCTCGAAAAAAAAAACATCAGATAAATACATATTTGTTCACGCTATTGCGCAGTCCTGTTGGCTCTATTTTAAGCGTGATTCGTTTATGTCATTATTTGTTCAGATTTTGAGCTGTTTATCGCGACACACAGACGTTTCTGGCAACAATGCGACGGCCATAGGACTCTCCCCACCTAAAGAAAACATAAGTAGGTCCCAGTTCCTCGCGAGTAAACCAACTCAAGATGGCGTCGTTCTGTTTAAATGTAGTTCGTATTTCTTTTTAAATTTTTGTACTGTTAAATTGGCCAAAGAGGAGTTCTGAACTTCTTGGGACTACTTAAGTGAACTATATATATGTAACTGTGGAGAAATCTAATGCAGAATCCAAGAGCGGCTTAAACAGCACTTTGCTCGAGTCGCGACGTGCTTCAATTATATAACATCGAGTGGTAGGAGAAATGGAGGTGATGTAGCATCTTGCTGTTTGAATGGCCCAAAAAGACTATTACTGTCTGTGATAGAAGGAAGGTAAGAGTGTTTAGTTTTGGCATCCGATTTTTGATGAAGTTGTGTGTTCTACGGGAAGTCGAAAATGGCTTATTTCTTGCTCATCAGCAGATACGAAATATTGGTATTTTAAAACTAAGTGGTGTAGACTGACTTGTGCTTATTTCATACATTTCTGGCTTTTAACACAAAGTTCTATGTCCATTCATATCAGGTTCAAAACACAAACATTGTCCGCCAAATTTGAAATTTTTTGCTGGCCGTCGAATTTGGGTCAAATTCACCCGAAAAACTAGCACCTGAGGGGTTGACGGGGAGTGGATCTCGTATCTCCTATACCAGAACACTTGCCGTGCAAACTTTAGTATATTTATCCGTAAGTCCACCTAACCTATCTATGATGTTAGTATGGAATAATTTGGCTGACCCCGATCTTTCAGCTTTTTCAGATTTTGTCCGCTTTTCTCAGACATTGCCTCTTTTAAAAGACTGTAGACTCGTGTGCATTTCAATGACTCGAAAGCCACTGTCCAATGAACAGTTTACAACTCCGAATTTAGCAAAAAATTCGGTTTTGAATCAAAATGAACACACTTCTTTCTCGTTTAAACACTATATTTGCGTTTACTTTAACAGTACTCGCCGCTCTGATATTCCTTTGTTTCCTAAGGACGCTTTTTAAAATTCATCAAGCCCCACTTCACTTACAGACGAAGAAAGTTTTAGTGTGAGTATCAATGTTCATATACGACCGTATCGTCGATCGTCAACAATCAAAACTTTATTTTTAGTTTTTTTTTGTTTTGACATGTGTCTTCTTCTTGATCTTTCGAATAGTAAAAATGTTCAAGACTTCAGTGTTTCTAAGGACAAGAATGACTTGGGATTCATAACGTTTGACCTTGAAGGAGATATTATCCTTTTTGCCTTTGATTTTCTGTACATGTTAAAACTGTACTGTTGTGTTGTTGCTTTGTGCTGTTGTGTTATTTCACCCCCTCTCTCCCCTCCCTGACGACTCCCCCACCATCCCTCAAACCATTTTTCATCTATAAGAATAACTAATATGACCAAATTGTTCCTTAACGAGTCTCAGATATGAAAGGTATCTTCAACTGGAATGTAAAACAGTTATTCCTGTATTTAACAGCGGAGTACACTACAAAGAAAAACATAAGTTTGTCTTGGGTCAATCAATCAATCAATCAATTTATTGTGTGAGCACACATAAAAGGAAATGTTGGAGGTTATCCCTATAAAGGATACTCCCTACATAAAATATAAAATATATATACTACAATGTAAAATCTAAGAATCATCAAGAATTGAGTTAAAAAAAATTACGAAATTTTACAATACTTTCTAAGTTTACTACGAAAAATGTTGAAATCCTGATCATGCATTATCTCTTTAGGAAGAGCATTCCACGGGTGTCTCGAAAACTCAGACCTCGAAAACTTAGACCCCAGACGTGAAAAACTCAGACCTTCTGGGTGTCTCGAAAACTCAGACCCGAAAAACTCCGACCCTCTGGGTGTCTCGAAAATTCAGACCTGAAAAATAAAACATATTTACACCGCGTGAATGCTGCAAGCTGACTTGTTTCCTGTTCGTCGATACAGTAGCATTACGTGCACTGATCATGAAAATTATCTGTCAAGAAAAGGATAAACAGCTTGCAGTGTTAGATACGTGCAACGATCATGAAAATTATACTCAACATTCGTATAGATTTTTCTTTTCATTATCGTATAAGCCAAGTTTATATCCACAACATGTTGAGTCGTTAGAAGCCATTTGCGAGGTGTGTTGCGCGATGGTTTCTTCTACAAATAGAGGACTGGCGTTACGCGCCAGTAGCGGCGGATATTTGAAACCGGATACAACCTTTCAGGGTCCTTATACTTCCCTCATTTTAAAGAATAACTGTGTATAAACGGTTCTTTGTTTATGTTTTCTCTGATATAACATAAGCTTTTAATCAATATTCGTGGTCAATTACGATAAGACATTATCCGTTCATGGTTGCATTTTCCAAGCCACACAACTTATTTTCTTTCCTTTCAATAAAAACGCTTGAATGTACTTACTGTATGATTCACTAAATGTTTTTTGGAAAGCACATTGCAACAAAACTGACCACTGAAATAACATTGCAACTGTTTTTTTTTTTAAATAAAAAGCTGTTTTTTCTTTTCTCGGCAGATAATTTTCATGATCAGTGCACGTAATGCCACTGTATCGACGAACAGTAAACAAGTCGGCTTGCGGCATTCACGCAGTGTAGATATGTTTTATTTTTCGGGTCTGAGTTTTCGAGACACCTAGAGGCTCTGAGTTTTCGAGACACCCAGAGGCTCTGAGTTTTCGAGACACCCAGGGGGTTTGAGTTTTTCGGGTCTGGGGTCTAAGTTTTCGAGGTCTGAGTTTTCGAGACACCCAGAGGCTCTGAGTTTTCGAGACGCCCAGAGGGTCTGAGTTTTCGAGACACCCAGGGGGTTTGAGTTTTTCGGGTCCGGGGTCTAAGTTTTCGAGGTCTGAGTTTTCGAGACACCCAGCATTCCACTGTTTTATAATTCTAAAAAATAATGAGTGCAAAAAAACAATTTACTCTAGCTAATGACTGTCTTAATCCAAATGAATGGCTTGATCTTGTTTTACCATAACAATTAAATTCAAAATAATCTTTACAGTTGTGGCCGTTAAGGCCATGAATAATCTTCTAACACTATAGCAAAGATAGATAAGACCTCCTTGATTTAAGACTGGACCATCCAAGCATTGCCAGTCTTTCTTCGTATAGTGAGTCCCCAAATGACATCAGGAGAGTTTAATAGAACACAAAGTTATAAAAGCATGGTATCACAACGTATCGAATACGTACAACATGTTCTCGGTAACCGCGCCTACAACTGTCCCAGAGCTCCTTGCGTGTATAACGTGACCTGAGTGCGGCCTGCGATACTACATTCCCCCAATGCAATATAGCCAAAAAAAACTTAGATAAACTCAACTGGCGATAGGTTGACACAACATACGGAAATAAAGATAAGTAACTAAAATAACGTAATTTTGCGGTTATCTGATTAACTACTGATTGTTCACTGAATCCTGTCTGGTATTTCATGGTCTGGGTATTTTCTCCTGAGATATTCTTCGCGCTCCGACGGGGCCTTGCGGTGCGAGCAGTGGCACCTGCACTCGAAGGTGCCTCTTCTACATTTTCCGTTGTCGGCTCCACTCTTTCCGGTGTATACGATAGTCCCTCCCCAGGGGACAGCACCAACTCCGGTCATTCCTGCGGTTTGGGCAGCTCCTCTGCTTGAAGTTCTGCGCTCGCCTTGCGACCGAAACCAGGCTCCAGCTGCGATCTGCCCACCTCGTCCAGAGTCTGATGGGCTACTTTCTTGAAATGTGCTATCGATCTTGCAATGGTGCTGCCGTCTCTCCTTTTCACCACCACTTGTGTTACTTTTCTGTGCTGTACTTCCAGTGGCTCTCCCTCATAGGGCGGCGAGGCTTTACTGCTGAGATATTGTTTCACCAGCACTGAATCCCTTACCTGTATAGACCTTATTCATAAATGGCTGCCGCGCGGAAACGGCCTGGTTTCGAATACATGAAAGCGAGGCTTGGTAGGCCAGAAAATTCTTGGAGAGCACATTTGTGACTATGATTTCTCAAATAATATTGTTTAAGTAGTCTAAAGTTTTTGAGGATATTGGCAGGAAAAAGATTTCTTAGTCACTCAACGGGATATCCGTGAGTTAAAGAAATATTTCCGCGTGAAGAGCCTTAGAGGTGCCGACAAATTGCTGTGTCCCTGTCCCGCTCTGTACGAAGAAGGACAAGCGGGACAAGGAGACGGGTGAAAAAATTTCTTTTTTCCATTTTCCAGAGGAGGAAAACCTATAAAACGATGGCTTCATGCTATAAGAAGAGACATCGGAGCGAGTTTTTCCTTAAACGGGGGAACTAGAGTTTGTTCCAGGCATTTCAGGAAAGTAGATTTGCAGAGAAGTCCTAACGGAAAAGTTAGCCCCAGACCAGAAGCCGTGCCAAGTCAATTCGTATGGAAGCGAAGTTCGCCTCGTAAATGAGCACCACCGACACCACGCTTTAGGGCTACCACAGTGACAAAAAAAAGGCGCTAGAAGCTAGGGAGGCTGTGGATTCTTCCACCGAATGCAGCGAAATCATCAGTGAGCATGCTACGTATACATCAACAAATAGGGCGGACTTAACAGTGGAAATGGAAAACATAACACAGTAGCGTGAGTGCGACACTGATTTTGTCAAGAAATCAGAAGAAGATTCATGCATAGCTGAGCTTAAGGACAAAGTTGCCGCAGCACTAACGAATAATGAAGAACTGGAGAAAGTGGTTTCAAAACTTAAAGAGAAAGTTGTGGATCTTGAGCGGAAATACGAGAAGTGTGAGGAGCGGTTGCTTTCCTTTAAAAACATCGCCTCAAATGACTCACTAGTAGCATTTTACACCGGCTTTCCAAACTACCAAACAATGATGGCCCTGTACGATTTTTTGGGTCCTGGTGAGCAGGGTGAGAACATCAACTATTGGCTGTCTGGAAAAGGTTTTGATAGCACCCCCAAGTCTGTGAAAAAGGAAGACCACGGATCTTAAAACCAGTGGACGAGTTCCTTCTCACTTTGTGTAGGTTGAGGCAAGGTTTTTCTGAGTTGCATTTAGCTCAATTATTTAATATTTCTCAGCCAACTGTTAGTCGCATCTTTATCTCCTAGATAAACTTTTTGCATTTAAAACTTGGCCATATTAATATCTGGCCATCCAGAGAACTAGTTAATGAGACAATGCCTGACGATTTCAAGGCAAAGTATCCTACTACAAGGGTAATCATTGACTGTACAGAGGTGCGCTGTGAAATGCCTAGTAGCCTCCTTTTAAATAGTGAGCTCTTTAGTTCATATAAGAACCATACCACTTTAAAGGCATTAGTGGGGATTTCACCTAAAGGGGGTTTCACATTTATTGGGCAATCAATGTAAAATGGGGTTGACAGGCCTACACGACTCCCCAGCGCGTGTTTAGAGTAGCCTATTCAAAGTTTGGTCCCATTGAGTATGTCTCATGGGGGACCGTCCTCTTTTGTAAAATACGAGAAGCAGATTTTTTGTATATTTCGATCAGTAGTGGTTGTGTTTCTATTAAATGCCAGTGTCTCATGAGAATTTGCTTTATGTTTGGCACTGATGGTTGGTATTTTGTAACAAAAGGCAAGATTCGTTGGTTCGTCTTTTGTTTCTGTTGAAGAGCTAATTTCCTGTTTTTTTAATTCACTTCTGAGAGGGTTATGCTAATGAAGTCCACTGGGTAGCCTCTCTTTAGCAAATGCGCTTCTTTTGTAATTTTCTCCTCGAATATTGTTTGAGAGGAATTTGTTCTTAGAAGTCTAAGGGTCTCCCCTTTAATGAAGTATTTTTTAATTCTTTGTGGGTGACAGGAACTATAGTGTGTATACTGAAATGTCTCAGTTTGTTTAAAATGAGTACGCACATCAGGGATTACGTCTTTTTCGAATCGTTCGCCTTTGTAGATGTACAGCTATTTTTTTTACTGTCTCGATCGTTAAGTTTCTTGATTGCTTTCAGCTTGCGCCACGCGCGCTGATTCGATCGCACTACAGTTCATAGTGTTCAGTGTTCCAGCCGTTTTGGCTCGTTTTCGTTTCTTTATTTCGGTCGTAAAACGACCGATTTTACCTTCGTAGAAGCACATGATCACCTTTACTGTTTCTTGCTCCACGTTGTTAAGGATTTGCTTCATCTCATTTTTGAAATCCTCGTCTGCTCTTATTTTAGCCATCGCCCTATATTGTAGGGATTCTGGGCATGTTCTGCTAGGCATTTGGAACAGAGGGATTTGTTCGTTATCCTCAGACTTACCGAGTAGATCCTCTTCAGTGGCGGTGTCATATGAGGCTTCCATGTTTTCTTCACTCTCTGAATGGCATTGTTTTGGCCCGGGGCGTTTAGTAGCCCATCTGCCGTTTTAATGTCTTCCGGCATTTTCTGTAGATGGTGAGGCAAGACCGCGGTTTCGATCCTAATCTCGTGAATCTCGTCAGTTGCCGATTAACTAAATAGACTGGCAGAGATTCCTTCTCGGTATATCGTACAAAGGAATATCGTATATAGGAATATCGTATATAGGAATATCGTCTTCTGTGAGTATCACGCGCGCAGTTCCATCAGAAGATCTGTGAGACGCCATTATGGTTTTGTTTTGATCTGTGAACCTTGGCCTACCAAGCCTCGCTTTCATGCATTCGAAACCAGGCCGTTTCCGCGCGGTGGCCATTTATGAATAAGGTCTATATCCGAAGTTTTCACGTTCCTCTTCCTGTCTGGATATGCCTTCAATTGCATCTTCTTCTCTAGGTCGCGCTGAAACAGCTCCTCGAAATCCATTTGCCGCGGGATGACCTCTACCGGCAACCTTGTGCGGAACCTGTGGCCAGGGAACATCAGTTCTGCTGGGGCTAGCTTGGTGGTCCCATGTGGCGTTGCTCGATAGCAGCGTAGGAAACGGTGCACTTCTTGCCTGAAGACCTTCCCAGTTAGTTGACATATGCGGTATAGTTTCTTAAGCACCCGCATAAACTGTTCTGCTTCACCGTTGGCCTGAGGATTCTTGGGTGTCTTGTGCTCGTGGGTGAAGCCCAGATATGTGCTGAAGTTCCGGAACTCCTGTCCATTGAATGGGGGTCCATTGTCGCTGCCCAAAATCAGAGGTATTCCCAGCGAAGAGAATATACGGTCCAGTTTGGGTACCACTGCTCGGACACTGGTGGTACTCACAAACTCTACTTCAACCCACCGCGAGTGTTTGCATATGACAACAAGAAGGTATCCCCTGGTGCTGATAGACACTGCGGAAATACGTTTTGGTGACGTCACAGTGGTCAGTGGTCATCAACATTAGGCTGCGAAGTGCTTCCATGTGTTTGTGGACTAGTTCGATGAAAACATCGGCCTTTTGCAAGGTTTTAAGTCGGAAAATATCCATGATACTTCTCCTTGTTTATTATGGTTGATCCTTTGAATGGGTTTTTAATACTAAAACCACGTCTTAACAAATAGCGGTACAGGGGAGTCATTTTGTTTGGAGTTTTGTGCTGTTTGCTGACTTTAGCTGGCCGTCGTTACGAAGTGCGATCGTGGTTCGTCAGTCGCCCTCGCCTTCAGAATTGTCAAAAACAGCGATAGTTATCCAGACAAAGCAAGAGATTAGTTCTGTAAGATAATTTTCCAGCGAGTCTGAAGACTGGTTGGATTTTTAAGTGTTATTAGCATGAAGCGATACACGTAATTATTGAGTTGTGAAAATATTCACACTCACTTTGCGCCGACGTGCGGTGCCTTTTCATTTTGGAAATCATTCGCTTGGTTGAGAATTTTACTTTTCTAGACTGATTTTTCGCCATTCCACCTTTCTGATTTTCTGTGCCTTTAAGAACGGGTGTCCGTAACGCTCGAAACGTCAGCTTTTGTAATCGTTACGGTTGCCAATTTACCATTTCAACTTTGTTGATAGATCCAAATTAAAATATGAAAACATTTGTTCATTTCATATACTTGCAGTTTTATCAACAACTTATCTCTCATGAACAGAATAACG